AGAGCAGTAGGCATATCCCAGCAGGAGGCTGGGTCATCACAGGTAACTTCTGGGTAGACTCTGTACTGCAGAGTAAAGGTTTGGATCACCCACAGCAGCCCAAATTTCCCTGATTTGGTCAGAATCTCTTTTGAGCTGCTGCTGGACCACAGTGGGGTGAAGCGCCCCCCCACCACCCCCCACGAGAGCTCTCTCCCCCTGGGATGAGAGTGGAGAGGATTTTGTTTGGTGCATGTCAGGGGCCATACCATCACGGTTTTCTTACACAATATTAAGCTCTGTTCTCTTCTTGCTCTTTGAAGAACCGAATATCCTATTAAGCTGTAATTGGAATTTGCTAGAGTTCCCTCGTTGGTGTGGGCAAGGTTTGGAAAAGTGATCAAAGGAAGGTTTGCTTCGGTCACAGACATTTCTGGAGGTTGCCTTTGAGTTCTTCAGTCTGTACTCCAGCAGCTAAAGGTTGAGGAGAAGGAGAGAGAGTGACGGGGAATAACAATGCATAGACCTTGCCTCCAAAGAACACGTAATTGAGTGAGGGAGCTCAGAGTCTGGATGCCTGGGAAAGGGACAGAACATAGAAGAGAGATCACCTTTGGCCATCTGGGAGGTAGCCGCCAGCTGGGCTTGGAGCTGGGCCTGGGAGCGTGGGGAGAATCTGGACATGGGCCAGGGCAGGCCGTACTCCAGGGTAGGTGGGCTTTCTCTTGCACAGTAAAGACCTTGGGCTCCCAGGAAGCCCGACCTCTTTCCTTGGGGATACTGCTCCCCAGGTGGCCAAATCGCTGGCTTGCCGAGATGAAGCTGGGCTTCATCTAATCATCCCTACTTGAGTACCAGTAATTCGGATTTCCTGGAGTGAGGGGTGGGAAGGGGGATATGTGGACAATGAAGAGGAAGCCCTTAAATGCCAGGCTAGAGTTTGGATGTTAATGTGGCCAAGAGGGAGCCAGAAGGAGCCACAGAACGGCACAGTGAGCTGAGCCAGGAGGGATGAATCGGGAAGTACAGGATGGATGGGAGAGAGGTGAGTCCAGGCATTGTGAGAAAGACTGTGTGTCCTTGGCCTTGGGCCAGAGGGGCGGGGAGTTGGGAGAAATGTCAGGGTCAGTCCTCTGTTCCCCCCACTCAACCTCAGTCTCCTGCTTCTTTCCAGTCTGCATAAGGAAGAGATGGAGTTCCAGCCCAACCAGGAGGAGGGGGAGGAAGAGGGGGCTCATCCTGGCATCATCAGCTGCTTCCTGGGGCTGCAGTCCCATGACCACCACCCCCACAGGATAGGCTCAAAGACCAAACTACTATTGCCCAAGAAAGAAGTCCTCCGTGAGGGCCAGCCCGAGAACCTTGCAGGAGCCAGAAAGAGCTCCAGGGACCAGGAAGACAGCAAGGCCTGGAGAATGAATGGGGAGGATACCTTGAAGCCCGCTGCGCTGTATGGGAGGTCAGGCTACCACAGCGCCCCGCAGACGCCCCTCAGCCCCACCCCGATGGTCTTCCCATCCAGGTCTTTGGTTAAAGACCAAAGCCTACAGCCTGGGACTCCTGGGACCAAGATGAGTTTTGAATTGCTCCCAGAGTGTGCTGGGGCCTCTACAGAGAACCTAGAATTGTGTCACATGAAGAAGAAAACTGTCGAGTTTAACCTGACGGATATGTCAGAGGCCCCTGAAAGTCGTCTCGGAGAACCACATACACAATCAACAAGGAAGACACACATACTCAAAGAGCAAGATCCCTATTGGGCCTTGGAAAACAGGTCTGTCCTCTACCCCGAACCAGGGTCACTGCTCTCTCCATGGGTGGCCCTCACCAGCTTCCCTTGCTCTGAGTCCACCCATCTTCCACAATTTTCTTAGGGTTCCATCACTGCCAGAGCAGGCTGGCCCTATGCCCAGCACTGGCTTGGGGCACATACCTAGCCACCTCAGCAGGTCAGCAGGGGCCCTAGGGAAGCATTGGGGACTTTTGTCCATTTCACCTGAGTTTGACATCACCAGCAAGTCCCTGGGACCCAGGCGAAGGAAAATGAGCTTGCTCTGACAGGAATGATGCTGGAGGAGAGGCTACCGGGACAGGCTGAGACAGGCAGATGTTATTGCTGGGTCCAGCTCACTGAACAGGGGCGGCAGACACAAGATCATGAGGCAGAAAGGGGGCTCTAGGTTGTAGTCCAAGAATTCAATTCACTGCGTAGGCTTAGCTGCAAGGCTGCATATGCTCCGTGTTCCAAACCCAAAAAGGGAGCCACACCTCTGGGGACTGGCAGGTGGCTGAGGTGAGGGTGCGCAGATCCTTTGGAGCATCACTGTTCCTGAGACCTCACTTCTGAACTTAAATGTGCTCTTCCTGCTTCCTTGGGGTCCTCCTAAAGCTGTCGGCCACCACCAGATGTTTCCTTTTCTTCTGTTATTTCCTACGCATTCACCCAATTACAGATCCACTCTACCTCAACCCAAATCACGATATGGGAGTTTAACTTCGTATTTCTAAGTGATCAGTTACTCCTGTGGTCAGAAAACACAGCTTTGTGACTGAAAACTTGAAATGGCTACAATATGTCTTGCTTCTTGAGCTGGACAAACTTTTACAGACCACTGTGGCTTGTTTAGCAAAGGATATTCATGACTGCTGTCTCCTGACAGTAATCAGTTTTTTAATATTAAGATGTCTCAACCTTTGCACTCCCGCTGCAGCTAACGTAGTATTGAAATGAAGATGTCTCCCTCACTCACGTTGTACATTTTTCTCAAATTCTCAATAGGGATGAAGCACATTCCTAGCCCGTTTCCCAAAGGGAATGCTTCACCAGCCTGGTCCTACCAGCGTGTACACCAACGGGACACTGATCCAGTCATAGCCATATAGTTGTCTTCACGGAAGAATGTTCCTATGACAGCCTGAATTAAGTGGTTAGCTCAATGGATAACAAAAATCAGTAGTTTCAGGACTACTTAAGCCTTTACATGCCTTTTGTGCATAAAAGTTACGAAAGCCAGAATGAACCACCGGAAACATGTAATTCAAAACACCCAATTTGAAGACAGGAGTCCTTAAGTCCTGTCTGAATTTCATGCATCCAAGCCGTAGTATCTTTCCTAAACTTAGAGAAGTTTCATATAACTAAGGATTAATAAACTAAGGATTTTCATATATACAAATCCTCCTAGGCGTTTCATTTTGATTAGTGTGATTGAGCTTGTGGCACTTCCAGATTTAGCGAAGATGGCCTCGATATATTTCTACCTCATCCCAAGAACTCAAAGACAATAGCTGGGTACCAAATTACTTTATTTGAAAGAATGGTACAAATGAAAGAACTTAAGAAGATGACTTGGTACAACTTATAGAAAAAGTAAAGGTAACCCCAACATGCATGTACTGCTTTGGTGACTAGAGATGTCACCCCTGTGGCTACAGGAAGTCAGCCAAAGACTTAGCTCTCATCACTGTCTCCCAGGGTGTGCTTGTCAAAGAGATACTCTGCCATGCCAGATTCGGGAGCCCCCATCTTGCGCAAATTGGTAACATGGTCACCCAATTCTTTGATGGATTTCACTTGCTCATCCAGGTAATGAGTCTCGATGAAGTCACACAACTAGAAATCAGAATGGGGAAGAAAGTCATCAGTACGCTTTCCCAGCCCAAGACTCCGTTTACTCCCAGGTTGCCAATACTCACATGGGGGTCATTTTTGTCAGTGGCCAGTTTGTGCAATTCCAGTAGTGACTGATTCACATTTTTTTCCAGGTGTAATGCACACTCCATTGCATTCAGCCCATTCTCCCAGTCGTCACGGTCTGGTTTCTGAATGATAAAAGTTAGGTCAATGCATCTACAGTCTCTACCAATTAAACCATGACAATTCAGCAGGTACCTAACATGTAACCAACGTGCTTCGGCAAAGGGACATACATCTAAGTTTCCCTTGACAACAGTTTCCAATTTAACATCCTCACCCGTTACTGTTTGCTTATTGTAGCTTAGATGGTATGTCTAAAAAAAGCACAAGACAAAAAAACTAATATGTCTGCATTTTAAAAGAGCAACCGCTAGCCTGGGATTTCTGTCATCGAGGACTGCTAGATAGATTATGCAAGCATGAGATCTTTTGTTCACCTTGATATCCTGAAGGAAGATTCGGCCACCTCGCTGGTTCTGCAGCTTCATCAGTTTCTCAGCATGTTCTCTCTCCTCATGAGATTGGTGAAGAAAATATTTGGCAAAGTTCTTCAAAGCCACATCATCACGGTCAAAGTAGTAAGACTGAAAAGTGGAAATGCGAATATGTCATGTTAGGGGCAGGCTGTGTTCCTGAATTAAACAATAATTAATTTCTGCTCTAAAATACAAACTGAAACCTGGTCCTTGAAATTGAAAGTTTACTACAAGGGGCCTTTAGAATATCACAGAAATTGCCTCCAGCATGGAATGTCTTTAAGGACCTGTATTATTGCAGAGTTTTTACAGCCAGTGTCAAATTTCACTAGAGAAGGTGCTGGAGTATTTACCCTGATTATTACTGATGAACCCATGTTAAAACATGAGCTTGCCAGCTTGGGGCAGACTGAAGAACTTCTAAAATTAACCCACTAGGCAAGGTGACAATTATGAGCAATGCTCATGCCGGTAAATATATGATCACTAGAAAGCAAAAATTTGATTTAGACACCGCTGTATTCAGGAGTTCCCGAAACAGAATGGCAGTCATAGAAATCCAAGCCTGTTTTCAAATCCATCTGGAACATGCCTATTCTTACATAATTTGCACAATCATAAGACAATTGTAACAAACTCCCACCACACTAACTAAAACCGGGATTTCAGAAAACTGATGCCACCGATTTCTGCAGGGAAATAGTCCTTGCCCAGTACTGTCCGTGGGTTTTGTCCAAGAACTAGGGATTCGATTATTAGAGGGCTACAACTCTTAAGACAGAAAAAGAATTAAATACGCAGGCACTAGGACAGATGACTAAAACAACTTTCTTGTTCATAGAAGGGGAGATTTCTAGAGATATGCTTCAATTCAAGTGGGAATTGAGATAAGCAGAGCAGAGGGGTGGAGACAGTTGCTCGGGAGTGGTGGGCTCACGAAGATAAACCACTTAGCACCAGCCCCCAAGGTTGCTATTCGACACCATTACCCAGCAGGCTCTGCCATACCCAGGCTCGTTACCCAAGAAAATGGAGCGCCTAACGGACACGTGATCGGATGCATAGAAAAGGATGGAAATGCAAAAAATCTACTTTCCCCACTGCAGGACTGTATAGGCTGCAAGCGTTGCAACCTCGGGATTTCAGGAAACCAGGCACTCCTTAAATATAAAGGGACGCGCAGAGGCGGCCCTCGCCTGTGAGGGATTCCTCCCAGAGGACCGGCGGAAAGGGCGAACGGCCCAGAATCTCTGCGCAAGCCAGGTCCTGGGAGACCTCGAGCGGGCTCCATTTTCCCGAAGGGCGCACGGGGGTGGGAGAGGGCGGGGAGAGCCGCGCGGTAGCCCCACCCCGCCCCGCCCCTGGGTGGCC